AAACATGAAAAACTTTTTTAAAAATCTATAGCAACAAGCCTCTACACCTGAAAAAATTATTTCTTTTTATTTTGTCTGTATGTTTTTTACACGCATCTTGTTCTGCAACTTTTGTGTTATTTTAATCAACCAATCACCTTTATTTAACAAGATAAAACCCATTGAGCTCAAGATCTCTTTTCCATGGGTGACCTGGCCAAGAGGTCAGCAGAACACATAAAAAATAATCAAAACCAGTTTACAAATAACAATATAACAGTGTTATACGGTTTAAGAGGTGTAAACGGTGAATGAATCCAAGCTTCCAGGCGAAGCATGGTAATAATCTTGACAGTGATTTAGTGAAATTACAAGTGATAAAATGAAAGAACAGATAATGGTTGAAGTACAGACAGAGACACAATACAGATAGTGACTGAATTGGTAATGTTTTAAAACATAGGCATCGATCAAAGGTCTTAGTAAATTTATCTGTTACGGTTGAAATGAAAGAGTTTAATGAGATGAGACCTGGCAGTTTCAGATCCGTCTGTAAGGTGTTCCAAGCCGTAGAGGCGGCAAAGCTGAACGCTTTTTCCCCCAGTTCAGTTCTGATACGTGGAACCATCAGGAGGACAACATTGCTGAAATTAGGGAATAATGGCTGCTAGTTCTTTGTTGTAAGGTGTTTAAAATAAGATGGAATGAAGTCCAGTAGGGCCTTGTAGCTTAGTTATTTCAAAAATGTACAGTATGCATAAAAACATTCAGCTCCAGACATTCCTGCTTTGACTTTTGTTATTTCAACTATTTGTATTTTTTGAGATATTTAGCCTTTTTTTAAAAAATTTTCCTCACTGAAAATAAATTGAGCTCCATCATAAAATCCTTTAAAATGTTTATAAACCTTTACTGCACTTTTCACCCTTTTTCAAATTTCGAACAATGACAATTTCTTTATTTCATATATATATATTTGAGTTTTATATCATGTTATAATGTTGTACTCTCACAAAAAACATGATCAAAGCCTTGCTTTGACTCATTCATGCAGGTTTGAGAAATCCTGCAGCGTTTTTAGGCAGCCATGCTGAGGAGCAAAACGACAGGTGGGGAGCAGAAACGCCTTTTGGGACCAGGAACGCCCCTGGGACATGTCTCAGCCGAACTTCCTCATCACGGAGCACACCTCCCCACCCCCTCCCCACACACCCCGCCCCTAACTCCTGCAGGCTCTCGGCAGTAACAAAGCAAAAGTGAAAGTGAAACTTAAGCTGTCTTATTACTGCTCACTCAGTGAAGCTCTTTTCAGATTCAAAACACCTTTGAGGAAATGTATTTTCAGACGCCAAGTGAACTGAACCATAGCGCATGCGCGACCCCCCCACCCCACCCAATTGAACTGACAGAAGAGGAAGGTGGTTCTTAAAGAGACAGAGGCCAATTTCAAGGCGTTTAGAAGAGGAAGTGATGAGTATATAAGTTTATTTTCTATTTAAACATAAAAACAGCATTTTAAAAACAACTAAAGGTGACATAGATACTTTATGGTATAGTATTTAAATGTAAACCCGAGAAACACATAATATTGGCCCTTTAAGCGTTTATGCATTTGAGCTGTTTTCTACAAATTAAGCAACTTTTTAAAGCTGTTTTAGATGTTTTTTTTTTTACTTTATTTAAGCTAAATTCACCTTTTGTGCTTAATTTAGCAAAATTACATTTTCTGCTTCTTTGTACCTACTAAATTCAACATTTTCAGCCACTTTTTGGCTCTTGTGCTAATTTAAATNCACACAGACACACACATCACACTGCCACCACAATACACCTATTCACATGGACTGTCTGGTGGTTTCGCCCCTATTCAACTCGATGTCAGCTAAAGTCCAAACCTGCCTGACCGCCCTGAACCCACACGAAACAACACTCAGCGCCCGAGAAGTAGCTTAGTTTATAATAAAAGAGGGGAAAAAAAGGAAAAAGAAAAGAAAAACCAGCCGGGAAGTAATAACTGCTCTTTACACATAGAAATACGAACAGGTGTAGCTAAAACAGAGCACTGTAGCTCATCGAGTTTAACTAGTTTACCTAATGAATCGTATGCATGAAAACCCAAAACCGTAACCTTTAAAAATGTTTCCTTACGCCGCTAAGTTATATCCACATACCTTCTTCTTTCCTGGCTAGCAAAAAAGGCCTTAGCATATGCCGGTCTAACAAGCAGTGCTGTGATTGGCTGAAGAGATGGGGTTCCGCTTTTAAAACCTATGCTGATTGGCTTCTACAAAAAAGAGGCGTGGTTTATACTACATAACGTGTGTGCGAGGCGGACAATCATTTAAACGCTGTAAACAGTTCATCCATCGTGTAAAAGTAATATTGCATGTGTTATGTCCTATAAACGTTATGTTACATATGCTATATCCTATAAAACGTTTAATCAGCCAAACCAGAGTGTTTACATTGTAATAATGCAACGAGAGTCGTAGCTGCCTGCTGCTTAGGCCATCTGTTTCCTGATTATGTCTGCTTGATTGAAAGTGTCCAGACGGCCCTTAATATCATCACCAGTAAATATTATAAATGGTGGATTTTGAATTTCACTCTTGGCAGGTGAATTTAAAGGTAAAGTGTCTTCTCAGATGTGGTGCCCTCCTCCAGAGCTTTCTGGTGCACTTGTTAAAGGGTTCAGGTCAGGACAGCTGTGACCGGTAGGGGGCAGGCACAGGCCACGAGGAGCTCGCATTATTTACTCCTTATAGGTGGACCTCAAGACTTCTGGAGGAATGCTTATTAGTATTTTTTTTATATAATTTTTTCTTTCAAGAGCTTTGACAAAGTGTGTTAATTTGCCAAAGCATTCCAAAAGATGTGAAAAAATGAATAGGAATAAATTAACCCTAACAGCCGTTAAAAAAGAGAGTAAGAGCAAATAAAGGGAGCCTTCAGGGGAGTAAACAAATAGCTTCTCAGCCCTTAAATCAGAGTCAAGCGGATAAAAACAAACTCTTATTGTGATTAAGCCACGCTGACATTTATCCAGGGTTCTTCTGCAGCCTTTACTCTGCAGAGTGTTGGCATTTCACCTCTCTGCTGTGCCAATATGTCCTCCCCCTCACTCACCAGCTCCCTTTCGCTCTCTCAGTCTGAAGCCAATCTGATTTGCCCCTGGGTCTGTGTTGGCAGAAAGAGGTGATAAACACCGCAGCCATGACAACCGGCAAGCTGGAGACAAACGCCGGAGTTCTTGTATCCTAATGGCTCTGCTCGCCTGGCATGCGCTCTCCCCCTTTTTAATTCATCACGTCCAGCCTTCACCTGAGCTGATACTGGAGTGGGCGGGGGGGCACGGCGAGGCTCTCGGGACAGATAAAAGGTGGCCCCGGCTCTGCTGCACTTTGAGCTTTCTCATCCAGTGTTTTTTAAGATAAGCTGCCGGGATGTCTATCAGCATGTGAGGTGAAACGGCGTTAACACTGAAGCCTCCACATCGCTTTTCAATCGTGCTCCGGCATTAGTAAGCGAATAAATATTTCCTCAGTGTGGTTAATGCTAGCACTCCTGACCTGGCTCAACAATACAAGGTCCTCTCAAATACAGCCTTTGGATCACTGAAGGCCTAGCAAAACCTCTATGACATGTACGCATGCATATGAGCACAAAGCTCACCCAAAAAGCATGAAAGGAAAAGAATAGGCAACTGTGCAGAAAGTGCTTTTTCATGCCTTGCCACGGGGCAACTATCTCAGCCAAATGGCAGACTTTTGTCAGTGATCAATTGGACAGGCCCCTGCAAGCCCCCCCTCACCCCCACTTTAACACGTATGGCCTTTTTTCACAGGAAACAGCCATCATAGCTGTGGTGCGAGTCGCCGTAATCCCCGCTCTCTCATTTTTTTCATTTATTTATTTTTTGGGACCCCCTCTCTGTGACTGAACCCAAATTGAAGTTCAGATTTAGCACGCCCCAGGCCTCGCCAAGGGAAAAAAATGGAGTATGTGTTAAAAAAAAATGAAATGCAGTCCATCTGAATCACGGTGGGGCAATAAGAATTTCGTCGCCCCCTCGGACAGCTTCCCCGCTGAGCCATTTCCGAGGCTGCGGCAGCAGAAAGCCCGAGTTCTTACCTTAAAGACTCGGAGGGGGCGAGGTTTCCATGGCAACTGATTTGAATCCTAATTAAAACGGGAGATTTGATTAATTAGCTCAACGATCTGTTTGTGTGTGTGTGTGTGTGTGTGGGGGTGTGTGTGTGTGTGTGTGTGTGTGTGTGTGTGTGTGTGTGTGTGTGTGTGTGTGCATGAGCCCGTGGGTAATCCTGTGAATCAGCGTCTCGTGTGTGTGTGTGTGTGTGTGTGTGTGTGTGTGTGTGTGTGTGTGTGTGTGTGTGTGTGTGTTCCCTGTCTCCCAGGAGGCTTGTCCTTGCCTGCAGTGCTGCTGTGTGAATCAGAGGTGAGTCCTCCAGAGTTGCCCTTTGCTTTAATCTGGAGCTAATGACAGAACCACCTGCCCTTCTGGCCATTCTACCCCCACCCCCTCTTTCGCTGCAAATCACAGCCATCCCTCTCAACCCCCATGTGCCCACTGCTCATTGTTTCCTTTTCGCTCTCTCACACAGTCAGTCTGTTGATTTCCTCACCCTCCTTCTGTCCCCGCTTCTCTCTCCTGCCTGCCTTCTTCTCCTCCACACAAAGTTCAGGGTGCCCTTGCCAGCCTCTCTGCATGCCTCAACCTAGCTGAGTAAAGATACACCGGGGGGGGGAGGGGGGGGCAGACAATGAGGAATGCTGCTATAAGATTCTCATGCACTGAATGTCTTAACAGGTCCTTTCTCATAACTAACTGGTCTAATCCGGGAATGTGTCAATGTCTGATGTTTTCTGTCTTAATTGATTTTCTTCAAAGGGCTGTGAGTTCTCCAGGGCTGATAGATGCATTTGATCAGTGATGCTGCTGCTTGCCTGATAGTGCAGGGTCTGTGCTGGGAGGTGGGGGGTGGGGGGGGGGGTATGTAAAAGCCTGTGTGAGGCTCGGTGAGTGTGTGTTTTTTTATCCCGTCTCTCTCTCTCTCTTTTTTCATCTCTTTCTCTCCCCTGACCGCCAAAGAGAGGACAGAGAGGCAGACAGTGGAATTATGTGACATGAATAATATGGCGAAGAAACGAGCAGTGACCGTCATCTCTGGTTCGTTTGCGTCAGTGTGTGCAGGTCTGGAGGAGAGAGGAGGCACAGGGGGGAAAGAAAAGAAAAAAAAACAGAAAGCAAAGGGAACAACTCCTAGACAGGAAGAGAGAGTCAAGAGGATAACCACACCTGTGTCAGGCCTGTGTTTGGACGGGCCAATCAAACAATCAGACAGTTCTCTGCTGTCGTCTGTCAGCGTCGCTTCTTGTTTCCATAATAACACAGAGCTACGCCGACTGCTGACTAGTCCACTTGGCTGATTCGTGGAAAGAAGCTTGAGTGTTGACTTTGTCCCCCCCTCACCTCCATCACCCCCATCAGGGTGAGATAGCCATCCACTGAGGCAGAATCTAACAGGAGGGATCCCAGTGGTCTATCTGGACTCAGTATTGATCTCCTCTGTAAAGGAGAAGAGGGAAGGAGGAGGGGTTGCTTCCTTTTTTCTTTTTTTTTCTTTTTTTGCCCAGAGATAAACAATGCACTTCTTGGATGGAAAAAAAAGAAGACCCACTGGAACTCCCTTTCATGTTGTGTTCCCATTTGTCCGGAAACTACCGAGTGTGCCAGCCTGGACCGTCCCGAGAAGCACAGATGCTCTCAATGTGGAGGACCAGCATCCCTTACATCTCTCTCTCTCCATCCTTTCTTTCGTGACATTGTCCAACAACGTATCGCAGCACCACATTGGATTATTTAATTCATTTTTTCTTTATTTATTTGTTATGAAAGCTCACACTCATCCACACGTGTCTCCGCTACCTGTTTCCTGAGCTTGGCCGGGTTTGAAAGTGTACTTTTTGGAGATGGCTCTGACCTTTGTGGTTGCGTTGTTTCCAGCACGCCCACAGACGAGCGCAGGGGAAACTTGGCGCTGCTCCCGCGCGAGGAGGGCGTACATTGTGTGCAGAGRGAGAGAGAGGAGGGCTTTGATGTAATCAATATCAGATTTCAGCTGTTTCGCTCGGAGCTCTTATCCTGAGTGGCAGRCTTGACTGACTTCCTACTGCTTATGCAATCCCAGTTCTTTCTCCCACCTCCTCCTCTTTTGCACCTCTGCCCATTACTCTCCCCTCTTATCTGTCTGTCTCTGCAACACGCCATTCCTTCACCTTTTCTCCCTCCTCCTCTGGCTTCTGCTTCTCCCTTCGTCTCTCTCACGTTATAATCACCTCTGTGATTGCTCTTCCTCTCCCGGGCGGCGGCGTGTTCGCCGCTGCCTCCTTGTCTAACCCGCCGATGCCAGATTATTGCTGGATGATTACAGCCACCACACCATCATGATCGTTATTGCATTTTGCGTGGCAGTGTTCAACACTGCACGAGCAGATCYAGATGCTTTATCCAATTTAGATCTCATTAAGGCTTGAGAGGAAATATCCCGGCAACAAGACTCTGCATTCTCAGCTTTTCTTTTTTGTTTTGTCTTTGCCTTTCTTTTTTTTTATCTGGCACAGCTTCTTCTATTTTTTCCCTTCCCCACTTTCTGTCTTATTACAGAGCCACTCTCGTCCCCATCACCACCACTTCCTGGTCCTGCCTGCCGCAAACGGCCTCCACGTTTCAAAACATAAAAGAAGGAAAATCGGTAGAGTTGTGACGCCTCAGCTGCGACAGGTCTTCACGGTCGTCGATAGCCTGACAAATTTTGCCTGATTGATAATCTCGGGGGTCGATTTGAACATTTTTCTGCGCCCTCGTCCTTGTGCTCTCTGACTGCCGTTCGTCTTATTAAGTGGAGCAGCCCATTAGGCGGGGAGCATCATGAATCTGATTTGCATTTACTCATATTCATATCGCATACATTAAAATAACACATGCGTGACATTTGGGCTTCGCCAGCCATTTGAGAATTCACATGAATATATTCATCATAGACCCCCCCACCCCCCAACACACACACACACACACACCCTGCCACGTTTACCCCTCCAAAAAGCCACTCAGAACATGATAAAATGTGGTTCGCAGGTGAGCCGGGCCACGTGTGCATCTTAGTTTTGCATTTAAAGTGTCGTTATTTGAATTTGTAATCCAACCCGACACCACGACAGCTGAGCGACTGTTGCAGCTGGTTTTTCAATCAAATGATTTTGTCTCGCTTTTTAAACGCCCCTTTATTTAGAGCCTTGTTTTCCGCTTGCTGAGTTCAGTACATTTTACATGTTTACCATGGTTTGACTCATATCAGGACGCACCATGGCCTCCAGTTGGCCTATCCATCATTATTCCAGGATAATGAAATTCCTTCCTTGTGGCTCTGCAGTCTGTGTGATTTAACATTTATTTTCTGACTGCTTGAATATGCTTATGATGTATCACCAATCTGATTCATCCCGAAGTGCCGTATTTTTCTTTCTTTCCCCCTCCTGCTCCTCCTTTCATCATGGGTGCGTTTGTGCTTCAATGTCTCCGTGTTTGCCTCGCCTTGCAGTGCGATAAAGGCCCTATGTGGGGCCGCGGGCTGCTGAGCTGAAGGGGAGACGCCGCAGGATGCAGTGGGTCACTCTGGCCGTGGCCCTGGGCTGTGTGCGCCTGTCCCAGGCGTCGCACGGCCCCACCCCCACCCCCACCTCCACGCACACCCCTCTGGTGGACAACTCCGAGGAGGAAGTGGACGAGCCGTGCTTTGAGCCGTGCACGTGCGAGGTCAAGGAAGGCGTCCTGCACGTGCACTGCGATGGGCGGGGCTTCACCAACGCCAGCCAGGTACCGCCTCTGCGGTTGTGTAACGCTGCTTTAAGGGTACTCAATGCAAAGTCATGAAGATCGGTTAAAAAAAACTGCACAATATTTTTCTCATTTAGTTGGGTAACGAGTCCCTAAATTAAAATATTTGGAAGCAAAATTTGTTGCCAGCTATAACAAGCGTTTGTTTACCTACGTAACAGTCGAAGTGACTAAAAATAGGTCAATAATGGTAACGTCCATGGATGGGCTGTTAGAGAGCAAGAAGTGTGACGATATGTTGGTAAGTGTTTACTAGAGATGTAAGAAAATATCGCCACACCGAAATATCACAATATTTAATTTCCTGATACTGTACTGCTTCTCAAAAGCACTGTATCGATTTTTAATAAAGGCTCAATAGATTTATGTAAGAAGAGAAGTGAAATGCAAATGCTGTTCAGTCGTCTTCTGATTGCATAAAAACTAACTGAATTCAGTCAGATTTTAGGCATGTAATGTATGGTGAGCTCATCATTCAGAGTTTAAAAAAATTAGAACCTTTTGGAGAAAAAAATGGCAATATACTGTATCTGGCTTACAGTATCACATATTGCGATATATCATGACCCCTGTATCATATCACCAAATTGTTGCCAATATACAGCCCTAATTGACTGCCCTATATACACTCAGATTTGTTGAGTAAAACAGGCAAATGTTCACAAAAAGCATGTGAGTTTGTTTTTCATGGTGCTGATTGATCCTGTTTTTATGATTGGCAGTTGTTTTGCTCAGTTTTTCTCCTTTCTTTCACATTTAGCAGCAGATTGGCTCTTAAATTTCCTCCTAAACATATATTTGAAGCTTTTCTACTCGTCCATTTCCAACACATTTGTTTACCTACATAATTAAAATGCTTTGAGATAAAATAATCAGATTGTGGCTATCCCAAAGTAGGTCAATCACGTGATTCATTTTTCCATGTTAAGCGAACTCTTTGTTTGCATTGAGTGTGCACCACCATTTCATAATTGCATATCAATAAATCTGGAAAGTACTGTAGTAATTTCAGAATATATAGGATAACATTTAAGTTTGATTTCAGATTTTGCAATTAGTACCTTTAAGACGCTGATATTTATCTTGTTGAAATATATCCATCTGAAATGTGTCATACCCCCTTTTTAAAAGTTTTTTTTTTTACTCTAATTAACCACTTAGGTGTCACATTCATGGATCCGCCCTTTCAAGCTCAACCTCCAGAGGAACTCTTTCAGACGTCTCTATAGTAATGGATTTCAACACCTTGGCAATGCGGTGTCGTTAAACCTCGGCAACAACGCACTCCAGGACATCCGAGTGGGAGCCTTTAATGGGTTGGCCAAACTCCGACGGCTCTACCTCCACGAAAACAAGCTGGAAGTCTTCAGGAATGACACCTTTGCCGGCTTAGAGGCTCTGGAATACCTCCAGGTAGGCCCGAGGAGACAATCCATGTTGATTGTCCATGATTGACTGTAATATTGACAAATTAGGCCAAGAATAAAAGTGCCAGAAACGATCGATGGCCAGCAGGTGGCCTGGGTGAAATAGGGTAAAAGAGTTTTCGGTTTTTTTCTTTTTTTAGATGGAAAGTGCTGAAGCTATCAGTTCAGTCTGTTTCCAATTTCAGCAGTGACACCTTCATCATAATGTGTCTTCTGTTTCTTTTCTGCAGGCTGACTACAATGTGATCAAACGAATTGACAGCGGCGCGCTGAGGTTTCTCTACAAGCTCCGGGTTCTCATTCTGAATGACAACCTGATCCCAGTGTTGCCTGCTCATCTGTTCAGGTTAGAATCTGATCATTTTACCGCAAAGCATTTTAATTATGCCAGACAGAGCCAGTCACAGTATTCTGCTGAAGAAATGCTGTTATGGCACACTGTGTCACGTTACACAAGATGGATTAATCATCATTTGATAATCTGATTTTTCTTTGATGAAACCTACGATTCGTTTTTCTTTCCATTTTCATTTCACATCGTCTCTCTCTATAACCTAACTAACTGACCTTCCTCTGCCAGGTCTGTGTCTCTGACTCATTTGGACCTGCGAGGGAACCGTCTGAAAAGCCTAGCATATGCTGGGACCCTGGAGTATGTTGGCCGTTCCCTGATGGAGCTGCAGCTGGAGGAGAATCCCTGGAACTGTGGCTGCGAGGCGGTGCAGCTTCAGCAGTGGCTGGGTCAGATTCCCTACACAGCCGTGGTGGGAGACGTCACCTGCGAGTACCCGTTCCACCTTCACGGCAAAGACCTGAGGGAGATCCCCCGCAAGGAACTGTGCGCCGACCTGCCGGATAAAGAGCTGCAGGGAGAGCGGGGAGGTCCGCCCGCCGGATCCAAGCCTCACGCTTCGCCCCCTAACTCCAAACCCAACGCTCATCCCGGGAGAGTCAGGCCCACGAAACCGTCCTCTATGGTGCACGGCTCCCGCCAGAGTACTCACACGTCCTCCACTTCATCTTCTTCTTCCTCAGCGGAGCGCAGGGACCGGGAGAGGCACCCGAGGCCGACTAAAAGACCGCGGCCGTCCAGAACGTCCCCCACGTCTCGCAGTCTGGTGCCCAACCAGAATCCCCCCGTGGCCGGTTACCAAACGCGACCCCCCATCCCCATCATCTGCCCCATGGGCTGCACCTGCAACCTGCACATCACCGACCTGGGCCTCACCGTCAATTGCAAGGAGAGCGGCTTCCTCAACGTGTCCCAGCTCACGCCACGGCCCCTCAACGGCCGCAAGCTCTACCTGAGCGGGAATTTAATCCAGAGCATCTACCGCGCCGACTTCTGGAACTTCTCCAGCCTGGACCTGCTCCACCTGGGGAACAACCGCATCTCGTACGTGCAGGAGGGGGCCTTCTCCAGCCTGATCAGCCTGCGGAGCCTCTACCTGAACGGGAACAACCTGGCGCAGATCAGCCCCCACATGTTCCTGGGGCTGCAGAATCTGAGGTAGGGACGGCTTTCTGATCACTCGCAACCACACGACCTCTTAGGCATTTAGAGATTTGTTTGTTGAAATTAATTTTGCTTTAATTCTGGCACCGCACCGGGCACAAGATGTTGATTACCATTATGCTGGAGTTTGATTGAAACAAAGGTGCCCATTCTCCTTCATGTTTGTCATTACTTAGTCACGCTGTCGGATGACATGCTCCAGTTGAGTTGTAAGCCTGGTGTGAGTGACAATGTGAAAATTAATGTTTTTTGTATTTGCATAGAGAGAGGTGTTGATAAGACACTGAGGCGTCTAGATGAAGCCAGGATTTTGTGTTTTATTTTTTTTGGGGGGAAAAAAAAGGATTTTAATAATAAAAATGGCGTGTCAGAGTTATGCATATGGATATTGTCAGATTATGCTTTCAAGGATGAATCATCGGCAGAATAATGCATATCTGCAGTCAGTAAGTGAATTCAACATTGATGAGGACAACAGATCAGCCTCCGTGCTCTCATATCCAAGGAATGACAAGTTGTGATGCTTTTATGTTGCGAGCATCACTCAGCCTTTTGATTCCAGCTGCACAGTCTCGATGTTTGAAGACAAGTTTAAGAAAATCTACAGACCCATTAATCTGACTATTAATCAATAATGAAGATCCTCTGTGGACACTGGAAATGTCTTCCTCTTAACCTCTCGTTAGCCTTTGTTAGCGACTTAATAGTGAGCGAGCGCTGTGAAAATTTAAACCAGATCTATTCCTTATTTCAGCAGTGGAATTATATTAGATCACCAGGGCTGAGTTCCTTTATTACAAAAAATATCAACATTTCTTTAAAAAAGATCTAATCAGATTATGTCAAGATCAGTTAATGGAGCCATATGATACGGATCAGTTTACAATCTGTGATCAGAAAATGATGAGACTAAAAGTAATTGCGTTTTGATTCTGCTATACGAATAATTATTAATCGTAATCAAATCGCTGTCCCTAAACTAAATGAGCTGCCTTTGCTCATCAGACAGGCAGACTCACTTCCTGTTTTTAAATCTGCTCTTAAAACACATTTTTCTCATTGGCTTTTAACTTAGTTTGAGATGTTGGTTTTGATGTTTTTTTTTTTTTTTTTTTTTTTTTTTTTTTTTTTTTT